CATCAAATATGTGAAATCGGCGGAAAATATATATGGAGCTATATCCAAATCTGAACCGATTTTAATATAATTTGACTAATTTATTTTCTAATCAAAATCCCGTTACATATTCCAAATTTCTTTGGAATCGAACATACATATCGTGTATGGTGCATAAAATACATGAAATCGGTCGAAAATATATATGAGAGCTATATCCAAATCTGAACCGATTTTAATATAATTTGACAAATGTATATTTGTTTTAATTTCCGCCACACATACCAAATTTCATTGAAATTAGAGATACATTGCGTGTTTGGTGCATCAAGTACATGAAATCGGTCGAAAATATATATGGGAGCTATATCCAAATCTGAACCGATTTCAATTTAATTTGACAAATTCATTTTGGCTCCCAATTCCGTTACTTATTTTAAATTTCATTACAATTGGGAATACATATCGTGTTTGGTCCACCAAATAAATGAAATCGGCCGAAAATGTATATGGGAGCTATATCCAAATCTGAACCGATTTAAATATAAATTGGGAAATCAATTTTTTAGATTAAATCTATCACACGTTTCCAATTGCATTGAAATTGGGGATACATAGCGTGTTTGGTGCATCAAATGCTTTAATCGGCCGAAAATATATATGGGAGCTATATCCAAATCTGAACCGATTTTAATATAATTTGACTAATTTATTTTCTAATCAAAATCCCGTTACATATTCCAAATTTCTTTGGAATCGAACATTCATATTGTGTTTGAGGCATCAAATGAACGAAATCGGTCGAAAAATATATATGGGAGCTATATTCAAATCTGAACCGATTACAATATACTTTGGCAAACTTATTTTTGTTCCAAATTCCGTTACGTATTCCAAATTTGGAGACTGTATCTTCAACCAATCAATAGATATGTGCATATAAAATCTAAATTTTTGGGAGGTACCTCCGATTCTGATGCTATATCTCCAGTTCCAAGTGGAAAGTCAAAAATGTATATAGCCTATGTTACTTTCAGACGATGTTGCAGTATACATGGAAATTTTCAGGAAAATCTATTCAGCGGTTTTCGAATCCATAAATTACAAACAGTATTTAGTTTAAAAAAAGTGTTTTATGGACAATTCTTGCATTTAGGTTAGAAAAAAATATATTGCGCTTTTTTAAGGAAAGTTTTTACGCCATTTACGCTTTTCTGGTTTTTAATTACGCTTCTAGCTCTCAAAATGTTGGGAACACCGATTTTGGCCCATTCCAAACGTCGCGAGGTGATCCACACTTTGGTATTTTTTAGTGCCAAACGTGCTTTCCAAAATACTCCAGACACAATAATCCAACGGAGAGTTTGGTGGCCATTGTGTGCTAGAAATGAAGCGAGGAACCTGATTTTGTAACCATTCTTGGGTGGCGCGTGCTGAGTGCGATGGTGCTGAGTCCTGTTGGACTGTCGAAGGTCTCCGTCCAAACTGTTTGCGTGCTCCAGAACATTTTCGCAAAAATATTCGGCATTTATTCTGATAGCACTATCGATTAATACGAGCGGAGAGCGACCATCGGCAGTTATAGCGGCCCACACCATCACCATAACCGGCGCTTGAGTTCTGGTGGCCAACCGGAGATGCACATTTTCAGCTGACCTCTTTGGAAAGTAAACACGATAATTTTGTTTGTTTACAAACTGCTGGACAACGAATGTTTTCTCATCGCAGAGAACCAAATTCGGTAGTTCACAACTTTCGGCCAAGCGAAACAAATCTTTAGCTCTCTTGAGTCTATTTTCTCTATGTCGCGGTGTAAGCTCTTGTACTTTTGGAATTTCAATGACTTTACCCCGAGCTCATTTTTCAATATTTGCCGAATGGAATATTGCGATATGTTTAGTTCACAAGCCATTTTTCGACCACTGCGACGCGGGTTTCGATCCAGCGCTTCTCACAAAATGCTTTTGTACGCTTGTAAACAATGTAATGAGCTGTCACTGGAATAATTCTAACAGTTGTCGGACAAGTGGCTTAGAAATGACAGCAGTCTGTAATTGGTTGCAGTTTTTTTTTATATCAGCCTGTATGTACCTACCGCCAAACCCGGCCGTTCGCTGTAGTTGAATTTTTTAATAATCTTAGAGAGTTCGATGCTCAATATTACTTTTCCATATTATTCAAATCCTCCATATTAGGTTTGTCATTCCGTTTGTAACACTTCGAGGTATACATTTGAGACCCCACAAAGTACATATATATATATATATATATATATATATATATATATATATATATATATATATATATATATATATATATATATATATATATATATATATATTCTTGAACAGCATAAAATTTTATGTCGGTTTGGCGATGTCCGTCCGTCTGACAGTCTGTGGAAATCACTCTAGTAAAGTAAAGTGAACCAAGCCATGCCCAACTGCTGAGAACGGCGTTTTTGGGATGTTCTTGGCGACCTCTCAATACTGGCTCGTACGGCAGCGATATTATCGGCCGATCGCCTTGGTCGACTTTTATATGGCCTCTTCGGATTAGAAAGAGCCTTAACAGTCGAAAAATTTTCGTATAAACGCTTAATGGTGTTCTTAGAAGCGCACTTCTCACATTTTTTAATGTTTTAAAAGCACGTTGAGTTTTCACAATTGACTTCTTGTAAATTTCAACTATTTCAGAGCGCTCGCGTGGCGTGTATTGGTTCATGGTAAAAATCTGCTTGGACTGACGCTTCAAACGCGGTATGTCATCAAGCGATGTGACATCTCTGTCAAAAGTTATGGCGTTGCCAGATGGGACCGTCGAATGTAAGTCCACGGTTTGCTATAGCCCCCATATAATAGTACCTACCTATTTTCTGTGTTTTGGTGATTTAAGCGACATTATTCACCGGAATTGACCGGACAGAAAATTGTCTGTGCAGGTCCACGTCTTCGTATATCCTTTATATAACGGTACCTCCCGATATTCGGTATTTTGATGATTTTAGCGATTTTAGCATTTGAATATTTTAATGGTTTATGACAAAAGTAGCATATGCAATTGAAAAATGGAATTCGTCTTTTGGAATAAATGTTTTTAAACTATTATAGAGCACTAAATTCTATTTCAGTATTTTACTTTTCGCAAGAAGAAGGAAAAAAATTGTCTTTGGTTTTTTGAAGTGTAATAATTTAGTTTTTTTCATCAAAAGTTATTATTTTAAAATTGAAACATCGAATACAGATAGTTATCAGTGTTTCAGAACAAAAAAGTTTTAAAAATAATGATGTAAAAATATTTTAAAAATTAATTCATAATATTACCATATTTTCGCCATATGCGAAAAGTATGTGGAGTTTTAAAAAAATAATATCGAGAAGGTCTTAAAATTTTAATTTTGTATTTTAGTATGGGATGTCATCATTCATAATCAACAAAAAACTCGTTCCCTTTTTTGACGTTTTCGTTTAATTTTGTTGTTGCAAAATCGTCAGGCAAAATCCCATTATTGTTGTTTTTATAAAAACAACGTTTGTTTATGAGTGGAGAATGATGGTAATGTTTACCAGGGGGTAAGGCAGGGAATACCTAGGTTACGGAAAGAGCCACCAATCCTCATCAGTTCCCTTGTTTCTTGTCTGGGATATTCTCCCCAGAAGTTATTTTAAAAATAACTTCTATGACATTTAAAAAATGGTAAAAATAGTCAACTGATTTTGCGGTGAATGTACTTTGATCTTGTTCTCTGTTTTATTAGTTTTTTTTTTGTGTTGGTCTTTCTAAAGATGTTTCTCTTGGGTTTTTATCCTGTTATTGACTGGAATTCTAAACTATATATATAACTATATATAAAAGTATTTCAGTCTCTTTGAAAAAATCAGTGGTTTTAGTCTATTTCAGATATGAAGGCCAATTTTGTATATATTTTTTTATAATTATTCCTTTCCTCATAAAAATATGTAGTATTTTTGTCTTCAGATTTAGAAGGTTTTACAAAGGATAAATAAATTTTTTGGCTTAAGTCAAATTTTGGATTTATATAGGCAATTTTTGTAATATTTCCATCCATCCATTGGGAAACAAAATACCAAATAATAAGTTTGTAAAAAGCTCTATCTGAAGCCCTCAAAATACCTAATATTAGGAAGTACCATTATATATTTTGCAGGGAGAAATTCCCAAAATACATAAAATTTGGAAGTGCCGTCATATACGGTCAATACTTAATAGTGGATTTATCTTCACAAAATTTAGCAGGGAGAGATTTTGTCCGCTCAGAACTCAAAATGTCAAAATACTCATGATTGCGTTTGAAATTGTGGCCGAAACCTTCAAAATACCAAAAATCAGGAAGTAACGCTATATGGGGGCCTTACCGAAACGTGGGCCGATATGTTCCATTTTTAATGCCAAACATATTAGAGGTAATATGAATGTCTGAGCAAAATATTACAGCGATAAAATGCTTCCCTGAATTAATCTCCGTTTTTGGGCATCTCACCCCACTGTACGTCGTCGCATAGACTTATATAACGGCTACATTCGGTATTTCAAAAATTTGAACAGAATTTTTAACGGATTTTTTTAATTGCCAAATTCGTTCCAAATGTTGAAGGACATTTAAATTTCGGCCCGGCCGAACTTACAGCTTTTTGTGTTTGTCTAGCCCGGGTCTTGAACACGGACATTCGGGTCAAAAATCTGTCCCACAAGAAGAACATTGTTTCTCGGAATGAGGGTAAAAAACCTACCTCTGGAAAAATTTCGAAAAAGTCGATGAGTTTTTTTTTTGCAACTTAGATTTGAGAATATTGAAATAAATAATGGAAGAAGAGAATAAAAAGAGAGAGAGAGAGAGAAATTTTATAAAGATGTTGTTTTCCTTCCTGCAGAATCTGGCACATGCGCACTTACCAAAAGTATAAACGCGACAATATTTGAAATTTGCAGTTTTCCCTAACCATGTACCAGAAACCGTAGAGGTAACATCAATTGTTCAGTAGGAAACTAAAATTTGAATATTACGAGCTATAAATTTTATTTTTATCTACTTCTTAAAAATATAATTCTTAATCTACATTTTAACAAATACATTGAATTTTAAGTTTTATCTCTCAACTACTCCAATAATTTGTGGCATTTTAAGACGCTGCACTTTACCAGTGTCGGTACGTGGTAGGGCATTCACAAAGTAGACTTCGCCCCGTAGGTGATAAAAGCTATCCAGTTGCTGTTCAAGACACTCATTAACCACTTGGGTAGTTAAATTACGACCAGTCTCATCATTGGTCCTGACAATGGCACATGCTGCCAAACTACCAGCCACCAGATCAGGTAGGGGAAATACACAGACCTCCGCCACACCTGGTATGCGCTGCAACACCTCTTCTATGGGCTGAGGACATATCTGGAAACCTCGCCATTTGAACATTTCCTTGGCACGACCAATAATGTGTAAGAAACCCTCGCTGTCAAAGTACCCCAAATCTCCTGTCCTTATCCATTTGTCATGCTTGGCTTGGGCTGTGGCTTCGGGATTCTTGTAATAACCCGTCCATACATATGGACTGTGAACAAAAAGTTCACCAGTTTCATTGGGGCCCAATCGTTGTCCCGCCTCATCCACCAAACACACCTCCCTGTTGCACCAGAGTTTACCTTCCGTTTCAGGTTTAAAATTGAATGGATTGCCTCCATTGATGCTTACCCCTCCCATTATCTCAGATAAACCATAGGTCACGACAAAGCCGGGACGTTTAGTATTATCCGAGAGAATATCAATGATTTGTTCCTGTATTGTTTGAGGAAGTTTCGCACCGCCACATATCAACGTATCGATGGAAGCGAGGCAAGAGCGTACAACTTTTTTGTCTTGGTTAAGAACTAGATCAATAATCTGTGTGCCAGTCGCAAAGAAATGTGTAACTTTGTAACGCTTAATTAAATCGAGAAGATATCCGGCACTGTAGGGTCTATCGGGAACAATGCGCAACGCTGAAGATAATAAACTTTGCAGTAGATTCATAACTCCCGATGCCCAATACATGGTACTAAAACACATTAGCACTGAGTCCATGATGGCAGTGAGACTGTAAGAAAAACCGAAACAAAAGAAAGTATTTAAAAAGAGAAAAAAAAAAGAAATCGAAATTCAATCCAAAGAAAATATTATTAAATAAATAATAGAGGGATAATACTGAAACACCGACATAACCTATATTTTAAACTAATGACTCTTGAAATATTCAAAGCTTTATATTATATGCTGCGATGAAATATGAAATATTGGACTTATTTTGTATATGGGGTTTTGCTCTGTAAACCGAATCCACCTGGAATTTCTAATGGAAACCGAGATCTCTTTTTTGGTGTCTTATGGTGGAATTTGATGACGAATATTTTTGTATTTGACGTCATCCTCTAAAACGATGCTTAATAGAAGAATTTTGTATAATCTCAATCGAAGTAGAGCTTTAACCCTAATATATTTTTTGTCGATATCAGATTTAGAGCTTTGATTTATTCTGGAAGTAATAGTAAAATCTTGTGGCAAAAAATTATGTCGAATATCTTGACTTGCTACGATCCCATTGTAATGGAGTTTAACCCGCGTTGAAAGAATTAATTATTTTGAAATTAAAATCGTTGTTACACTAAAGTTGTCAACGGTTCTTTTTTTTTGGAAATAAGTACTGTAAATGTACGAAAATGAGCAAATGGTACTGTTTGATATATTCGGTTTTAATTGATCAAATAGAGCTAAGTCTCTCTAAGTGATTGTTTTTGAGTAAAAGAATTCTAAAATTTAGCATAGGATGGTGTACGACAAGTTCCAAATGCTTCTAATATTAGATGTTCAAAAAATGGAACATGTACGATATGTAGGCTTAAGACAAGTTTAGAAAGTGCTATGATGTGACTATAAATTAGAAATATGAGGGATTGATGTTGTAGATCAGGAAATATAACGTACAGCTGTATGAAAAATACAGTACACGCTACTAAGAACTGTGATATTGACATGAGTGCATCAGCAGAAATGGAAAAGTAAAGAAGCGACTTAATCGAAACCCGCGTCGCAGTGGCCGAAAAAATAGCTCGTAAAATGAACATATCGCAATATTCCATTCGGCATATATTGAAAAATGAGCTCGGGGTAATACCATTGACATTCCAAAAAGTGCAAATTACACCGCAACAGAAAGAATATAGACTCAAAAGAGATAAAGAGTTACATTGCTTGGCCGAAAGTGGTGAACTGTAGAATTTGGTTTTCTCCGATGAGAAAGCATTCGTTGTCCAGCAGTTTGTAAACAAACAAAATGATCGTGCCAAAGAGGTCAGCTGAAAATGTGCACCTTCGGTTGGCCACCAGAATTCAAGCGCCGGCCATAGTGCTGGTGTGAACCGCCTTAACAGCCGATGATCGCTCTCTGCTCGTATTAATCGACCGTGACATCAGAATAAATGCCGAATATTGTCGCGAAAATAATTTGGAAGGTGTATTAAAGCCTTCGGTTTGCAAACATTTTGGCCGCAGACCTTGGACATTCCAAGAGGACTCAGCACCATCACACTTAGCACGCGCCACCCAAGAATGGTTACAAAATGAGGTTCGTCGCTTCATTTCCAGCGCACAGTGATCAACAAAATCTCAGAATACCAATCCGTTTGACTGGAGTATTTTGGAAAGCAAGGTTGGTACTAAAAAATACCAAAGTGTCGATCACCTTAAGCAAGCGCTTCGGCGGGAATGGGCCAAAATACCGCAACATTCGTGCAGCATGTGACGGTTTCATTGCTTCAACGCTTCAGGGCCTTGAACTATAATCTTTACTAATACACAAATGTGTAAAAAATATACATTGTTACAACGTTGTTTTATGGAAAAATGTAAGTTCCGCTGAGCCGAACTTTGAATACTCTCCACCATTTGGAAGGAATTTGGCAATTTTCAAAAAAAAAAAAAATAAATAAATAAATAAATAAAATCCGTAAAAAATGCTGTTAAAATCTTAAAAATATCGAATGTGGTCTATACGACGACGTGGATCTGTATAGGCAACTTTTGTCATAAGCCATTACAATATTCAAATGCAAAACGTGGACCTGCACAGACAACTTTCTATAGTATCCGTTACGAACTTCAAATACAAAATTTGAAACAATTCCGTTGAACAATGTCGCTAAGATCATGCAAAATACCAAATACAGGGAGTTACCGTTTTATTGCGGATATGCGAAGACGAGGACCAGCAAATTCAATTTTCTGTCACCCGCTGTAATATTCATTACGAACTTCAAATACCAAATTGGAAACAATTCCGGTAAATAATGTCACTTAAATCACCAAAGTACCGAAAAAAGGATGTACCATTATATGGGGGCTATACCAAAACGTGGACCAACATGGCCCATTTTCAATACCAAAATTCCTGCAGACGTAATAAACATTTGAGAAAAATTTTATCTACCTACTTCATTTCGTTCGAAAGCTAGAGTGATTTCCACAGACGGGCAGCCGGTTAGACGGACTGACATCGCTAAATCAACATAGAATTTTATGCTGATCAAGAATATATATACTTTGTGGGGTCTAAAATGTATATTGCGAGGTGTTACAAACGGAATGACAAACTTAAAACTGGAGGGTATAAAATTTTACGATTGCAAGTCTTTAAATGCTTAAAGAATCTTTAAAACCCCACGATTTTAACACTGTAGCATTTTGAAATTAACGAATTTAACTTTATTGGTCCTTGAAAAACTTTTCTTTAACAAATCCTTTAACAAAAAAAATCCTTAACAAAAAATCTCTGCCCTTCAAAAAATAAATATTGTAAGTTTATAGGTGTGGGAAAATATTTTTTAAACAATTTAGGTTTTAAAAAAACCACAACTATAGCTCTATGTTTTGAAGAATCCCCTATCGAAACTCTGTTGGTCCTTGAAAAAATATTTTCTAGAAATGTAGGTCCTTAAAAAATCCCCACACTAGTAACTGCATTGCAACTGATATAAAAAATCCACGTCTTTCTCAGAAAATATATTTTTAACGAATAATCGCGATTGAAATCTTTGTAGCTGTTAGAAAGTATTGTTTGAAAATATTTTTATAAATCCTTTAAAAAATGGGAACTAAAAAATAAAAATTTTTAAAAAATCTGTGTGTTTGAAAAATACTCTTTAAAAAGTTCTCCCTTGTAACGCTGTGGTCCTTCTTTATAAATCCGCCATTTTAACTCTGTGGGTCTTTGAAACATATTTATTTAAAATCCAAGATTGTTCCACCGATTCTAACACAGTGGATTCGTGAAAAATCACGACTGGTCCTTAATAAATATGCCATGATTGTAATCCTCTTGGTCCTATGGATCTTGAAAAAAATACTTCTTTAAGATTTAGGACTCCAATTCTACTGATTTTTAAAATATTATAATGTGGTGGTTCCTAGTAAATTGTAGACAACTGGGGGTCGTACAATCCTGTATTATATTCACAATTTTAACTTTGAAGAAATGTTAAAAACACAATTGAAACTCTGTAGGTCCTAAGGCTTTTTTTAAATCATCGATTATAACACTGTGGAAACTTGATTTTTTTTTAAATCCACGATAGTTATTCTGCGGGTCTTCGAAAAAAAAAAAAATTCTAAAAAATCCACAGCTCCATAGTAGCTCCGTAAGTCTCTAGATATCTATATATATAAAAATCATTTGTTGTTTGTTGGTAACGGAATCAGTTGAAAACGGCTGGACCGATTTGCATAATTTTTTTGTACGAACCTTCGTCATACCCCGAGTTAGGTTTTTAAAGAAAAAAATATTGACCACGCCTACTTTTACGCCCACTATATTGATTTATCTAAAATCTTTATATTTGCCAGATAATGAAGATATCGGTTTGAAAATTATTACACGAGATACTGTTGAATTTCCCTCCAAACTCAGGAATTTATTTGGGCGCTAGGAAGCTGACCACGCATACTTCTAATCTATATATATAAATGAAAGTTGTGTTAGTTACTACGCTTATAACTTAAGAACCGCTGAACTGATTTTAATGATTCATACAAATTCGGAATTGTCTCCTATCCGAAAAGGATAATATACAAAAAAAATCACGTAAAAATGTGATATATTAACATTTTCATTTTGACTTTTGAAATGTACAATAGTAATGTTTTATTTTGCATGATTTTTTTCCATTTTGACTTACTTTTTTCTAATGTACATTTGTAGTGTTTTTTATATTTTATTTTTGAATTCGAATATTAATATTAATTTATTTAATTGACTTGATTTCTTGGGAACTGAAATTGATGACGGGTTACATGGAAGTATAGTACCGAATTATGTGGTGGCGAAACGGAATAGATGATACCGAAATAATTTAACGCGGTCACACCAAAGTTAAAAGATAATTACTTTTTCAAAATCGCTAGAAAAAATCATGAAAAAGAATTCTCAAAAATTCTCAAGTCGGGAAAAGATCGAAAAAAATTACAATGGAATCGAATTACAAAATAATAGTACATTCTATTGACAAACTTTGTAAGGATCTTTAAAATGAAATAAGTGTTAAATAGGATGTTAACTGACATCTACCCTTCAACTCGAGGGCCTACATCGTGGTTCAGCTGGAAAATGCGCAGACATTTAAACAAACAAAAATGACCGAAAAAGACTAATGGGGCTCATTTCAAAGCATGGACCTTCTTCTTTCATGTGACAATAATCCGTCCAATGAGAGCTCAAAATACAAAATTCTTTGAGAGTACAATCAGTAAAATACCAAATTTAAAGTGTGCAAAATAGTAGAGCGAATGGGACTTTTAGTATGAAAAGGATTTATATCCTTCCAGAAATTCTTTCAAAACATTCAAGATAACTTAAATCGCTTTTGCAGGTCTTGATATCGATCATAACTCACGGATAAGGGTACAACCCGATTTCATATTTATATAACCATCTATGATTTAAGCTATTTTTGGGGTCTTGGCCACTTTTTCATTTTTTTGGCCCTTATTTGAAATTTTCAAAGTTGGTCTTGACCACCTTCATCAATTGATTTGGCTAAAAATTTTATTTATACTACCCTGTGGTAGGTCACCATCATACAGATAATTATCACACAGGAAAGTTTGGAGTATCCCCAAGTCCACTTTCACATCTAATGTGTGGTCAGAAAAGAAAATTTTGTATTCTATTGAATTTTTAACCCCCAAGAGAATATTGGTTGGGTATAACCCTCATATGAATGTATCCCTGATTCCAGTTATGACTGTGGCAACGTTTTTCAACTGATTTGGCTATTATTTGGCATCTTGGCTTTTCTGTTTCGAGGGTCTTGACCACATTTTCCAATCGATTTTGCTGTATTTAGGCTACTTTGTGAGTAGAGAACCATTGTACAGAAAAATGTCAACATACGTAAATATTTTGGTACAGTCCCCAGGGCCGCCGATCTATTGTGATTTTTACCGATTGGCGGACGACAACACGGGAATTGTTTAATCGACATTGAATTTTACTATGAACAAGAACATAGACTTTTTGGGGACGCTAATGCGCAATTTGAGGTGCTATGGTAATGGGTGTAAAAGCGTTATTAACTTTGACTATTCAGAAATTATTTTGCCCTCCTTCCATAGGTATTTATTTCTTTTTAGTCGGATCAATATTTATATTAAAATTTGTTCACCTTTAAAATTTGCATTACAGACTAGAACTTCGGGCCGGCAACGCGGACCGGGCCAGCTAGTATATATATATATATATATATATATATATATATATATATATATATATATATATATATATATATATATATATATATATATATATATATATATATATATATATATATATATATATATATATATATATGTATATATATATATATATATATATATATATATATATATATATATATATATATATATATATATATATATATATATATATATATATATATATATATATATATATATATATATATATATATATATATATATATATATATATATATTTTTTTTTTTTTTTTTTTTTTTTTTCAATAAATGTAAGTCCTAAGTCCTTAAAAGATAATATTTTATCTTTTGAAAATTCTACAATTATTACTCTATGGGTCCTTGAAAAAATATCGTTTAAAACTCCTGTAGGAGTCCTAGATAATTATTGTTTTAAAATTCACAATTGTTACTCTGCGGGTCCTTGAAAAAACATTTTTTTCCACAATCGTAACTCTATGATTCCACAAAAATATATGAAAGCCACGATTGTAACTATGCGGGTCCTTGAAAAATATTCTCTAAAAATCCACGATTGCAAATTTATAATCTAAAAATCTGCAGATTTTTTACTTACTATATTAAATTATGGAGCATAGCCTGGTGGGAACACATCACTCCCTTTGGTGTACCCGTTGTACCGGATGAACTAAGTATAGCTGCCGTATCGGCACTTGTCAATTTCGAGCATGGAAATATTAAAATATCTCCGACATCGTTGCGCTTCTCTACCAAATCTTTAATGTTTAACACTCCCGGCAAGTTACCGGTCATCAAAACAATTTTGGCATCCAATTGCAACTGTTCCAAGGCAAAAAGAACATTTTTGTAATTTTCCTCATCGCAGTAGATCACACGCGGTCTTGTAGTTTCATAGAGCTTTGTTATGGTATCTAAAAAGGTAGAACCCTCGTATTAGAATTCAATTTTTCTTCGATTTTTTTTTTTTGTTTGCATTCTCATTACCCTTTTCAAATTTATCATAGACTCCATGGATGGGAGTTCCACACAGAAATGAAGCCAAAATCACTGTGGCAAGATGAAGTGAATGTTTGACATAAATACCCACAATATCACCGGACTGTACACCCATATCAAGAATATTTCGCGCCAGTGACATACTGTGATCTAGGTAGTCCTGGGCCGTTAGAGATTCTCCCGTTGATTCCAAAATTTGTATTATTTTCTGTGGAGTTTTACGCAGTTGTAATACTATGGCCTCGCCCACCGTCATTTCTCGGCTATAGGTTTCTTTGCATCGAGGTCCAGACCATATTTTCTCTTCTTCATTGTATGCCGTTCCTGAGAGGTAAGCCATTTCGTAATATGTTTTTTCTTTTTTTTTTTTTAGATTTGAATTTTGTCTTTACAGTCCAAGCAACTTCGGAATACTGATGGAATTCTAACATCGCTGGGTATGATTGAGAATCACATTTGAAAACATTTACCTTATCACCCCGTTAGCCCTTATATCATATAATGTAACGAAGGGAACTGCGTTTTGAAATTTACGATGTAATCTAACAAGTTGCTAAATTCTGATGGCATTTTTATTATCGAATCTCCGCTTTCATTGTTGATTGAACTGATGTAAAACCGGTTTTTATATGCAGTGATTAAATTATAAGTGTAAATATTGTCCAGTCATCATATGTTGAGCTCTCAGATAAGGTAAATTAATTGAATTATTAATTTTTAAATCGGTCGATATCACGCATTATGTCAATGGTCGATATGGTGATTTAATTTGATAAGCTAACACGTCTGGCGGTAAATGTCCGTAAACGTATTATGACAGACAGATCTTGATAAAATCAACTGAGACTGCATCAGATACAACACTTTAGAACTTTTTTTGGGTCATTTTTGGCGAGGAAATTTCAAGTGTGTCTGCGGAATGATAATCAATTAGCTTTTTTGATGGAAAGATTGTAAACGTTTTATTTAACGAAAAATGTATTGGATCGGTAAAACTTGTCACCACTTAGTAAGGAATCTTCACATACAGGGCGAGATTAAAAAACTGCAACCAACTTCAGACTGCTGTCGTTTCTAAGCCACTTGTCCGACAGCTGTTAAAATTATTCCAGTGACACCACATTATATTGTTTACAAGCGTACAAAAGCATTTTGGTGAGAATTTTCCAGAAACAAAGTTATTCGTGATGGAATTCATGCGTGATAGTGTGAATCCTTTATATTTGGCTGGAAAACCTCAAGTGGCTATAGTTAGAGGACTTCAGCATTTAAATGTAAATAAATCTTTTGTGTCTTGTACCATCGCTCATTACCGTGATACTGGTAGCGTAGTCCGACGTTAAGGAAGTGGACGGAAGAAAACAGCAACATTAACAGAAATGGTTCGAAAAGAAAAGAAGGGATTTGATCGAAACCAACGTCGCAGTGGCCTAAAAATGGCTCGTGAGCTGGACATATCGCAATATTCCATTCGGCATATACTGATGAGAAAACATTCGTTGTCCAGCAGTTTGTAAACGAACAAAATGATCCCAAAGCTGTCAGCTGAAAATGTGCACCTTCGGTTGGCCACCAGTACTCAAGCGCCGGTTTGGGCCGCTATAACAGCCGGTGGTCGCTCTTCGCAGTCGTATTAATCGACTGTGGCATCAGAATAAATGCCGAATATTATCGCGAAAATATTCTGGAGGGTGCATTAAAACCATGGGCACGCAAATATTTTGGCCGCAGACCTTGGACATTCCAGCAGGACTCAGCACTAGCGCACAATGTCCACCAAAATCTCTGGATACAAATCCGTTGGTGTCTGGAATATTTTGAAAAGCAAATTTGACACTAAAAAAAACAAGGTGTCGATCACCTCAAGACGGGAATGGTTTCATTGGCCGTTTGAAGGCCGTACTTCGTGCCAAAGATAACCATTTCGAACAAATCCTAAATTATTCCAAAATTTGATGCTATTTCCGACATTTTTTGCTTCCATTCATTAAAACTTAAAAAAAAGTAAAAATTATGGCGTTTGACATTGTAGCAGTTTTTTATCTCACCCTGTATAGGTACCTGATTATGTATAGCCCCCAATATTCGATATTTTGAGGATTTACACCACATTTTTCCACGGATTTGTCTAAAAATTGGTATTTGTAGGTTATAATGGGTTCTAGATCCGGTGGATATTCGGTCACTTGGGTAAAAAAATGTTTTTATACCCTCCACCATACTATGGAGGGTATATTAATTTTGTCATTCCGTTTGTAACTCCTTGAAAAACTCATGTCATACCCAACAAAGTATATATATTCTTGATCAGCGTAAAATTCTTGGACGATTTAGCCATGTCCGTCTGTCTGTATGTGTGTCTGTCTGTCTGTCTGTGCGTCTATCTGTTGTAATCACGCTATCTTTCGAACAAATGAAGATAGACATTTTTGCAAATATGTATATTTTGCCAGTAGTAGGTTAAGTTCGTAAATGGGCCATGTAGGTACAAGTTATCATATAGCCCTCATATAACGGTACCTCCCGATATTCGGTATTTTGATGATTTTAACGAAATTATTCACCGGAATTGTTTCAAATTTGGCATTTGGAGTTCGTAGTAGATACTGCAGCATAAAACAGAAGGTTCACGTCTTCGTATAGCCCCCATATACCGTACCCCCGATATTCGGTATTTTGATGATTTTAGCGACATTATTTAACGGAATCGTTCCAAATTTGGTATTTGAAGTTCGTAATAGATACTTCTGCCCATGCCAGAAAATTGTCTGTGCAGGTCCAGGTCTTCATACAGCCCCCATATAACGGTACCCCTTGATATTCGGTATTTTGATGATTTTAGCGGCATTATTTAACGGAATCGTTCCAAATTCGGTATTTGAAGTTCGTAATAGATACTGCAGCATAAAACAGAAAATATGCCATGTAGGTCCACGTCTTCGTATAGCCCCCATATACCGTACCCCGACATTATTTAACGGAATCGTTCAAAATTTGGTATTTGAAGTTCGTAATAGATACTTCAGCCCATGCCAGAAATTGTCTGTGCAGGTCCAGGTCTTCATACAGCCCCTATATGACGGTACCCCCCAAATTTATTGCCAAATTTATACCAAATGGTGGAGGGTATTAAAAAAATATCCCAGACTCTCTTTCCGAAACCTAGGTATTCCCTGTCTTACCCCCTGGTAAACATCTCCATCGTTCTCCACTAATAAACAAACGTTGTTTAAAAACAACAATAAAGAGATGAAGCCTGACTATTTTGCAACAACAAAATACTATGGTATCCCGAAAGGTATCTTGAACCAAAAAAAAAAAAACAGTTTTCAATACAGTATAAACATCATTCATTTATTCCAACGCCTCTAATGCTGTATCTTTCATCGACATTACCAATTCCAAAACTTTGCTTCTTCTTACCTTACCCGATCCAGTTTTTGGTAAGCTATCGACAAAATAAACCCCGTCGCTAATATGATATATACTACCCATATTGGCTGCCACATGCTTCTCAACATCCTTGGCCGTGAGACGTATGCCCTCCACAGTCTTATTGCGCACCACGACACATGCAATTAAATTCGCTGCCACCATATCGGGAACTCCAACAATACACGTCTCAGCGATGCCGCGTAAACGATAAAGAACATCTTCTATCAGGGGTGGATAAATTTGGAAATTTTTCGATTTAAAGACATCATTATCACGGGAGCAAACGTGAAGAAATCCCTTATCGTCAAAGAACCCAATATCACCTGTGTGCAGCCAACCATTTTTAAGAGCTTTCCCTGTGGCCTCGGAGTTTTTGAAGTAACCCTTCCAGGTGTATGGTGTCCATATGCATATTTCGCCATGTTCGGTTGGTCCCAAACGCTGGCCTTGTTTGTTAATAATTTTTACCTTATTATTGGGCAGCAGCTTGCCCTCAGTTCCCTCCAAACTATCGGCCACATAATGTAAATTACTGCTCAAAATACCCGATAATTCAGTCATGCCATAGACCACGTTGAAACCAGGTCTTCGTTTGTTGCACGCCAAGATGCCGTTCATCTTTTCCTGTACGGCCAAAGGTATCTTTGAACCGGCCACCAGGAGAGTATCAATCGACCTTAAGGAGCTCTGAATTCGCTTGGTATCTGCATACATGCACAATTCCGCCATATAACTACCACTTGCAAAGAAATGTGTTATTTGGTGACTTTCAATCAATTTTAAAAAGTAGTCGGTTGTAAAGGGTCGCGTGGTTAAAATACGCAGACAACCGCTGGTCAGAGAGGAGAGCATCATTAAAACACCCGATATCCAATACATGGTACTGAAGGTGGATATCACCGAATCTCTTTTGATGGTCAAACTAAAATTGAAATATTAATGGGAGGCATTTGAATTTCGTGATCGCCGTCAAGGGTCCCGCAAACTCGGGTTTAATTTTTAAGGCAAGTAAAAGATACATACCATACTTTTTGATTCAGCAAAGCTCTGTGGGAGCACATAACACCCTTGGGCGTTCCTGTAGTACCGGAGGAACACATAATCAAAGCCGTGTCGTTTCCATTAAGATCGTGGCAGCCATATCTGACAATAAACAAGATAGAGAGTATCAGTCGATTTGGCCACAGATATATAACTCGGAGAGGTCATTTTCCACAGAAGACCAAGACTTCAAAACGGCCATATCTCTATAGTAGTCTTATAGCAGACTTCAAAAGTTTTATTTTTTGCGACAAATTCTGTTTGTGGAAGAGTATGAAAAATATGATATCTACGGAAAACCTCAATTCATCGCCTAGAAAATCTCAAATCCTTTGGGAAGGCTTTAGAGTTAAAAACCTGAAATTTGCTATAAGAATCAAGGTTGAAAATTGGGTTAAAGGTGCTTTCGGAAATATGTACTAAGTATGCGAACCGTACTAAATCGTACTAAAATTGGTACCGTTTGTTTTAGAGAGAACGGATGAAGCTGAAATTTTTAAATTTTTTATGTTGGGGACCCTTTTGACGGTAGGTTTTTGATTAAGAGGTGATTTTGGAAACGTGTACTATAAGTGCACGAAAAGTATTGAAGAGTACTATATTTAGTACAATTAGGGTGAATTTATAGGACTGGAATCCTTAAAATGGATATTTGAAGTGTTGCATCCGAGATTGAGATATCGAGGTGGTTTAGGAAATGGGTACTAAAATTAATAATATTTTTTTCGAAAAGTACTAAATTTGGTATTGAGTGAAGAAATAGAGCTGAAATCCCAAAATTTGATATAGATGTGACGGTTGGTGTCTGTTTGTTCAAAAAGTACTAATAGGTACCGAATTGGGCATTCGATAAATGTATAGAACTGGAATCCCGAAATTTGAGATTGTCGTCTTTGCTGATATATGGAGATGGTTTTGGAAATGTGTACTATAATTGTAGGAAAAGTTCTAAATAGTATTAAATCTGGTATTGGGCGAAGGAAACATCCTTGCAGAGAACTGCTCATATACATCCAAATTTAGGTAAAAATTTAAAAGCATTTTTGAAAGCAATTTTTTAACATTTCTTCCAAATGGTTAAGGGTATTAAAGGTTCGGCTCGGTATATAAGAAATTTTTATATTGGAAATTTTTTATACCCTCCACCATAGTATGGAGGTTATATTAAGTTTGTCATTCCGTTAGTAACACCTCGAAATATACATTTTAGACCCTACAAAGTATATACATTCTTAATCAGCATAAAATTCTATGTCGATTCAGCGTCCGTCTGTGGAAATCGCTCTTCGAACGAAATGAAGTAGATTGATAAAATTTTACTTAAATGTATATTATGTCTGCAGGACTTTTGGTATTGAAAATGGGCCATGTAGATCCACGTTTTGGTATAGCCCCCATATAACTTTACCACCCGATATTCGGTATTACTCACCGAAATTGTTTCACATTTGGTATTTGAAGTGCGCAATGAATACCACAGTTTTAGACAAAAAATTGTCTGTGCAGTTCCACATCTTCATATAGCCTCCCCAAAACGGTACCTCAAAATATTAGGTATTTTCATGATTTTAGCGACATTATTCACCGGAATTGTTTGACATTTGGTATATAAAGTTTGTAATGGATACTACAGGATATGGCAGGAGATTATCTGTGCAGGTCTACGTCTTCGTACAGCCCCCATATAACGGTACCTCCCAATATTCGGTGTTTTGATGATTTTAGCGACATTATTCACCGGAATTGTTTCAAATTTGGCATTTGAAGTTCGTAATGAATATTAGAGCCTATGACAGAAAATCGTCTGCGTAGGTCCACGTCTTCTTACAGCCCCCATATAATGGTATTTTTGATAATTTTAGCGACTTTATTAATCGTAACTTTTTTCAAATTTGTATTTGAAGTTCGTAATAGATACTGCAGCCTTAGGCAGAAAATTGTCTGTGCAGTTCCACATTTTGGCCCCCATATAATGGTACCTCCCGATATTCGGTATTTTGATGATTTTAGCTACAATCTTCACCGATTTTTTTTTCAAGTTTCGATTTAGAATATTGTAATGGCATATGACAAAAGTTGCCTATGCCGGTCCACGTCTTTAGACCCTAATATGACGGCTACATTTGGTATTTTTAAGATTTTAACAGAATTTTTAACGGATTTTATTTTTTTTTTTTAATTGCCAAATTTGTTCCAAATGATGGAAGGTATTCAAAGTTCGGCCCGGCGGAACTAACAGCCTTTTTTCTTATTTGTATCAAACTTGCGCGAAATTAAATGGAAAATATGACTAAAATGCCACAAATATTTGAAATCGTGGTTTACCTCTTTTTCCCATAATGCAAGAGCTTGCCTTGCGCGACAAGATTGACGCATTGACATTGAGACCCAATTTCGGTGAAAATTTTTTTCACGCACGTGAGTGATCTATTGTGGTGCTATATTAAAACTAATGGCTGTACAAACACCCCCGCTTCAAGTCAACATTAATTTGTGAGATACCACCGAAAAGTTAGAAAGATAATGCCCACATTGGACTATGCGGAAGGGCCATTTGAATCGCAGTCGCGATCGACATTGGCATGAAATAATCTTCAAACATTAAATTATATGAACCATACTATCAATTAAAAAACACATTTCATGAATTTTTTTGAATCCTATAGCTTAAAAAAATCACCCTTTATAACAACAGTAGCCGATATTCGGTATTTTGATAACTTTAAACGCATTTTCAATGGACTTTTTTAACTCGATCTCAGCACTTATTTTCAACAATATTATTTTACAAATGAAGGAGGGTATTAAAATTCGGTCCGGCTTAGCTGATTTTTTACTTGTTTCATATAGTAGTTTTCTTTTTTATATTTTTTCATAATATACTCACCTGAAATCTTTCCGAATTTCACATTCCTTAATTTTTAGCAAATCCTTTATGTGACCCACCCCAGGAACACCATCACTATCATTCATAATAAAAATCTTTGCCTCCAATTGCAATTCGCGAATAATATCTTTGGCTATCTGGTAATTTTCCACTTCACAAAAAAGAATTTTGGGACGGGTTACCTTATAGATAAGGGAAACACTATCTAAGGGAAATGGGCGATAGAGAAGAAATAATATCAAGAAAATAAAAATCCCAACAAATTTCTAACAACTCACCTTTATCGAATCCTGGATACAAGGCATTGACGGGTGTGCCAGCCAAAAATGAAGACACCATCAATGTTGTTACTTGCGTCCAATTGTTGGCAAACAAGCCAATTATATCACCCGGACGTAATCCGAAATTCCAAAGGTGTTTTGTGAGGGCCTCAGCACATTTCAGCAATTCTCCAGCTTTTAGCTTTTCTCCGCTTATATCATGGATTTGTATGACCTTTTGAGGTTGCTTAGAGAGCACATCATAGATAACTTCACCCAGTGTTATATTCTCATTGTAGATTTCCTTGCAGTTGGGTCCAGACCAGAGTTTTTCTTTGGCATCGTAGTGGGTGCCTGTTAGAGGGTGCATTGTACCCTAGGAGTCTTTGCAAATAACTGACTTGCAATGGGGTTTCATCACCTGCTGATGGTTGCTTTTATAAAACCTGGGGAAAAATTGTTGCATGCCACATTCGATTGTTGAACAATGACATTTAATCGAAACAATTAACTGACAATTTGAATTTAAATTGCTGTTACTATTCTCAAATATTAAACTGTACAGTAACCGTATTTTCCTAACAATGTTTGAACTTATTAACTTTGAATTTACAATTTAATATAGCTTCGACTTAATAATGATGGGTTGTCTAACAAATTCACAATTTGTCAAAAATAAATCGCCGACATGGTCATGCAATGTTTTTTATTGGATATTTGATACCTTAACTCGGGTGGAAATTTAGTTATAAGGGAGGAAAAACAATCGAACACACTGCACTTATAAGAATGATCGAAATAAAAGAATAAAGCAACAATTCCTGTGAATATTATACCTAAAATCGTGAATATACCGAATATATGGTGGACCTATATAGGCAATACTCTTCCAGGGGATTAAATAATCAAAAGGAACTCCTTGTATAGATTTTCAGACAATTTCATTGAAAAATTTGGCTCTAACCATTAAAATATCGAATATCGGGGGTACCGTTATATGGGAGCTATTTGATATCGTGGACCGATACAGAGCATCTTCGAACTTGACTTGCCTGCAGACAAAAGACTGATCTTGGCAAAAACGTTACTTCCTATTTGTATTCGTTTTGACTTTAGTGTAATAACAACAGAAGGGCGGACGGACAGGGCTAAATCGTGTTAGAATTTTACGCTAACCAAAAATAGGTATACTTTGTTATGTATAATATTATTATTTCGATGAGTTACAAACGGAATGACGAACTCAATATACCCTCTATAGTATAAATAGTGAAGGGTACAAAATTTTTGAGATAAATCAATCAGGTTTGCTTTACCGTTAACTAAAAAAAATTCCCATTAAAACACACATACAGGCATACATCTCAAAGTGGCTGGCCTTTGCAACGAATTCCATCTTCAAGGTTTTGACCCGACTTTGGGCTGTTGGCGTATACCTGAGTTTGATTTCCTCGATTTTACTAGTGAGTGAAAAATGCTCGCGAGGGTAGAGTACTCAAAGAGTATGAGTTTTACAAAGAGGTTTATTTTCCATTTTTTTGTTTTAAGCGATAATGCTCGCGATAACTTCCGTTAAAAAAAATGGGAGCAATTATTTCCAAACTAGAACAAGGGTTTACTCTAAGAGTGTCATGAAGAGAATAAATTGTTATATGGTTTGTTAGTGTTAGTATGGGAGGGGGGCTTCGGGGACTTCAATTCTATTACAAATGAATTCGGTGAAATTTTGTGAGAGTTGAAAAAATGCACACACATACAAATAAAACCAGTAAAGAAATGTCAAATATATGGACGAACCGACCTTATGATATTATACACCACAGTGCTTATTTAGTAGAGCTACCGTTAACAAATATACGTTGATGTTGGGAATTCTTGTAAAGCAGGAGCTATAGCTATATCTGACTTGATTTTTGCTATAATATATTCTATTTTAGCTGATATTAGATATCAAATCTGATTAAACATATATATGGGACCTATACCTATTTCTAAACCGATTTTTTACCAACTTTTGCACACCGTTTTCCAGTCTGAATTCATGCATAAAGGTATGAAATAATAAATCTGATAAAATTTAGCAAAGCTATTTCTGAGTTATATTTGATAACTTTTTCCGAATATCTTTTTTAGGGCTGTAGGAACAAAAATAATAATCGGATGAAAAAAAGGAAAAAAAGTGGCTATCATTAGAGCACTCCAGCATTTGAATGTAAATAAATCTTTTGTGTCTCGTGGACGGAAGAAAACAGCAACATCAGCAGAAATGGTTGGAAAAATAAAGAAGCGACTTGGTCGAAACCCGCGTCGCAGTGGCAGAAAAATGACTCGTGAGCTGAACATATCACAATATTCCATTCGGCAAATATTGAAAAATGAGCTCGCGGTAAAGCCATTGTAATTCAAAAAGTGCAAGAACTTACACCGCAACAGAAAGAAAATAAACTCAAAAGACCTAAAGAGTTGCTTCGCTTGGCTGAAAGTTGTGAACTGCCGAATTTGGGTTTCCCCGATGAGAAAACATTCGTTGTCCAGCAAACAAAATTATTGTGTTTACTTGTAAAAGAGGTCAGCTGAAAATGTGCACCTTCGAAGGGTGTATTAAGGCTTTGGACATGCAAACATTTTGTCCGCAGACCTTGGATATTCCAACAGGACTCAGCAACATCGCACTCAGCACGCGCCATCCAAGAATGGTTACAAAATGAGATTCCTCGCTTTATTTCCAGCGCATTATGGTCACCAAAATCTCCGGATACCAATGCGTTGGACTATTGAGTCTGGAGTATTTTGGAAAACAAGGTTGGCACTCAAAAATACCAAACTGTCGATCACCACGCAAGCAAGCGCTTCGCCGGGAATAGGCCAAAATACCGCAGAGCAACATTCAGGCAGCATGTGACGGTTTCATTGGCCGTTTGAAGGCCATAATTCGTGCCAAAGGTGACCAATTCCAACAAATCTAAACTTCAATTCAATTCAATAAAATTAAAAAAAAAAAAAGAAATTTTGGCATTTGATTTTGTTGCGGTTTTTCTATCTTACTATGTATATGGGAGCTATATCAAAATTTTTATCGATTATCTCCAATTTCAATAGGGTTCATCTTTGGGCCAAGCTAATTATTTGTGCAAAATTTCATTTCGATCGGGCAATAAATGCAACCTGTCATGCATAAATGTGATTATGGTGATCATCAAAAGGAGCTATGAGTCTATTTCGGGGTGTCGGGTATAACTGCCCTAAAACAGTACTTGTCAAGAGTAAAATCTGCTCGATTATCAACGAATTTTACTTCCACTCGAAAACGAGCAAAGCCTACTCATTTCAACAGAGGGACAAGATAATTTAGAGAATTTTAAGGTAACTTAAATGTGATTTTTTATTGATTACAATTATTTCTGAAATCGGTTAACAAAAAGCAAAGTTACAGTGGTATAAGTTTGAAAAAATGCATCAAAAAGCAGCAAACATATATACCAAATCCATACATCTGGTTCCAAGACTTTTTTTACTTTTGGGGGGAGTTTTTATAAAATCCGCGTCCAAAAAATCAATATATAAATTATATTGTTTAAACTGTTTTCAAATGATACCTACATTGTCCATATCTGTTGAGTAGGTAGGTCTATCCCGGGTCTTGCACACGTACTTTTGGGTCAAATATAGGTATCCGTCCACAAAGAAATACTTTCCAGGAATCAGGGTGCAAATACCTACCTCTTTCAAAAAAATCCGAGTTTTTACCGAGTTGTTGTTGTTAATTTTTATAAAAAGAACAAAAAGCTAAAACACAAAAATATATAATTCGTCAATTTCTCTACCGATTTTAATGACTTTTCCTGTTTTTGAAAGCTTATAAAATTGAATTTTTAGCAAAAATATACAATACTACTGTTATCAGCTTTGTAGTGTACAACACGAAGAAAATCGTTTTCCCGTTTTTGATGCATTTTTTCACACTTAAACCACTCCGGACAAAAGGATATTTCCTCGATAATATTCGGCATTTATTCTGAGCCACGCTTGATTAATACGAGCGAAGATCGAACATCGGCTGTTATGGCGACCCACACCATCACCATGGCCGGCGCTTGAGTTCTGGTGGTGCTGAAGTTGCTGACATCTTTAGCAAGTAATGTTTTCTCATCGGAGAAAACCAAATTCGGCAGTTCACCACTTTCGGCCAAGCGAAACAACTCTTTAGCTCTTTTGAGTCCTTTTTACTCTGTCGCGGAGTAAGTTCTTGCACTTTTTGGAATTTTAATGGCTTGACCTCGAGCTCATTTTTCAATATTTGCCGAATGGAATATGGTTCCGATCAAGTCGCTTTTTTACTTTATGAACCATTTCTTCTGATGTTGCTCTTTTCTTCCGCCCACTTCGTTGACGTCGGGCTATGCTACCAGTATCATGGTAACGAGCAATGGCACGGAGTGCATGGCATGCTCTCCATAGCCACTTGAGTTCCATCACGAATAACTTTTTTTCTGAAAAATTCTCACCAAAATGCTTTTGCGCGGTTGCAAACAATATAATGATCTGTCACTGGAATAATTTTGACAGTTGTCGGACGAGTGGTTTAGAAACGACAGCAGTCTGAAGTTAGTTGCAGTTTTTTTCATCTCACCCTGTATATTGAAATATAAAAATATTTTTGAAAAACTAACAATTCTCTTTCATTTATAAGCTAAGAATTTTGCGGACGGCCCTCGTATGTATCTAAATTACATGAATTGCAAGTAATCTTAATCCGAAAATTTCAAAAAATCTATAGAGGTGCAAGGTTTTCCTCTTACAGATTAGATTACTTTGCCATGAAAACTTTCAAAACGCCAATATACGTGTATTTTATTTTCAGCAAATTTTCATTATTATTTTTCCTGCTGGACAGTGTAATTTGACAGGTCTTAAATTTCATAACATGTGAAATTTACCTCTCCCTTTTCCTTTATGATGATGTTTGACTATGTATTATATTGGTTAACAACTTATGGTGCCTTTCTTTGAATCCTACATTAGGTGAAGGATTCATCTGTGTTTATACAAGAGGACGTCAAAATAAAATTTGAAGGCCCATTGCTTCATTCAACTATAAAAAATCATAGGATTCGTACAATTTGGTCAGAACCTCCAATTTGGTCCAATTTTAGTGGGATCTTTGTTAATGAATGGTAAAATAAAAGGGTTTTTGTAGAAGGCAGAACTTCAAATATAATAGCTAGACTAAATGGTAACAAGATCCCAACCCTCTTCTCAAACTAAGTGACATGAATCATGAGCACAAGCTCCTACAATAAAGAGAAACAACAAAAAATACAAACTTTCTGTTTTCATCTGCTTAATTATTTATTTATCTAAACACAATGTTCACACAAAACCATACACGTATATCATACACTTTTATATAATACGTATATTATGGTTTTTCTTCACCTCCCTCCTTTTTTATTTTCATCACAAGATCCAAAACTTTACGCCGTTGCGCTTTGCCCGACCCGGTCTTGGGTATAGCTTCCACAAAATAAACACCACCACTCAAATGATACATGCTACCCATATTGGCCTTAACATGCTGATCAATCTCCTTGGTGGTCAACTTTAGGCCATCGGCATTTTGCGTTCGCACCACAGCACAAGCCGTCAAATGGGAGGCCACAAAATCAGGAATACCGAATACACAACATTCTGCTACTCCGGGGATGCGACAGATCACCTCTTCTATAAGCTGTGGGTAGATTTGGAAATTTCTCGATTTGAAGACATCATTGTCCCTAGCGCAGACATGCAAAAATCCTTCGTCATTGAAATAGCCGATATCACCGGTATGTAACCAATTGCTGCGCAAAGCCTTACTTGTGGCCTCGGGGTTTTGGTAATATCCCGACCAAGTGTACGGTGTGAGAATACAAATTTCACCATGTTCATTGGGTCCCAAATTCCGACCTAATTTATCGATAATTCGAACCTGTTTATTGGCCACCAGTTTGCCTTCGGAACCCTCCAGCCGTTCCATGACATGACCACCGCTAATGCTCAGCATTCCCGACAATTCCGACATGCCATAGGCAACACAAAATCCAGGTCTCTGACTATTGCATGCCAAAATACTGTTCATTTTCTCTTGGACAGCCTGTAGGACTTTGGAGCCACCAATCAACATCGTATCGATGGATTCCAAACTCTTTTGAATAACCTCCTCCTCGGCATACATAATTAATTCGGCCATGAAATTTCCTCCGCCCAGAAAATGGGTAATCTTGTAGCGGCGAACCAAATCGAGAAAATATTCAGGGGAATAGGCTTGGGAGGTCACCACACGTAAGCAGGCAGTTGTCAGCGAGGAAATAAGGGCTAATGCTCCAGATATCCAATACAGAGTGCTGAAGCTGCATGTTACCGAATCGGTTTTCAGGGTTAGACTGTTGGGAATCGACATTACATTAGTAGTTTAGGCGTATGGAGAGAAAGAGAGAGAGAGAGAGAGAGCGAGAGATAGAGATAGAGTATACTTACAAAACATTCTGATTGAGAAAAGCACGATGAGAGCAACGAACTCCCTTTGGAGTGCCTGTCGTGCCCGATGAACATATGATTATGGCCGTGTCATCGCCCTTGAGATCGTAGCAGGGATATCTGTAAATAATGACAAAATATGCGAATAAAAATTACAGGAAAAGTCCCCTAGATTATAAAAGTAGAGCTAAAATAAAAGACACGTGTATCGCCGTTTTGAAAATTTACATCGAAAAGTAACCCTAATGAGAGGGTAAATTCTAATCTCTTTAATATGTATTTTCGGATTAAGATTCCTAGAAATTCCTGCATTTTAGGTATATAGTGCCTTCGGCCATATAACTGATAACAATGCAAGGATTATTTTGGTCGGAAATATTAAAAATTTAACCGAGCCACGAAAGGGCATTTTGGTCCTTTTTTTAAAATATGATACAAAATCTCCTTTAAAAGGGGTCTGAGCAAATCAAAATATTGTAGCAAAGGGTATTTGTCGGTATTTTTATACTCCCACCAAAGTATGGAGGGTATATTAAGTTCGTCATTCCGTTTGTAACACCTCGAAATATACATTTTAGACCCCACAAAGTATATATATTCTTGATCAGCATAACATTCTATATCGATTTAGCCGTTCGTATATCCGTATATGGAAATCAATCTAGCTTCCGAACGAAATGGAATGGTTAATTAAATTTTACTCATATGTTTATAATGTCTGCAGGACATTTAGAATAGAAAATGAATCAGGTAGGTCCACGTTTTGGTATAGCACCCATATAATGGTACCTTCCCTTTTCGGTATTTTGGTGATTTCAGCGACATTATTCACCGGAAATGTTTCAAATGTGGTATTTGAAGTTCGTAATGGATACTACAGCCTAAGATAGAAAATTGTCCACGTCTTCGTACAGCCCCCATATAACGGTACCTTCCGATATTCGGTACTTTGATGATTTTAGCGACATTATTCACCGTTTCAAATTTGGTAGTTGAAATTCATGGTGGATACTACAGACTATGACAGAGAGATTTCTATGCAGGTCCACGTCTTCGTATAGCCCCCATATAACGGTATCTCCATATATTCGTTATTTTGATGAGTTGAATTGGATCAATTTTGCCAAAACAAACTCGAAAATATTTTTTTAATTTTTTGTATTATTTTTTCTCGTTTTTTTTTTTCGATTTGATGCGTGAAAGTGGAAAAAAACGAAATATTCTACAGAAACTATAAATCACGGAATATATCATATAATTTTATTCGAAATTAAAATTTTAAAAATAAAAATCTTGAGATTAAGCTTTTTGCTGGTGGTTTATCAAGCTTCGATTCTGGGTCAAAATCTTCCCTAATACTTCGTTTTCTACGTTTCCGTATTTGCCGGAAATTTTCTTATAATTTTACTGTCCAATAGCAAGTGTGGATTATGGAAAATTCCAAGTGGATTTGATAGTACCCTGTGTGTCGAATTTCCGGCACTTACCCCAAAAAGATTACAATATTTTGAGATATATTTCCCAAAATTAAATATAGAGTTTTAAAGCGCAGTATACCTTTAGCCATATGGCTATAGAGGCCGTGTCATTTGATACGACCAAAACGTGCATAGTCTTTTGGACCAAGCCCGTTTCAGGACATTTGGATTCGATCTAGGGGCGTCCGTCCGTCTGTCTGGCTGGCTGGTGTGCACAATAACTCTTGAAGGTAGTATACGATTTGACTTGGTACATCTTAATATTATTGTCAAACTTAGATCGAGTTCGAATATGGGCAAATCGGTCCACTTCATCATGTACATCCCCCACAAATGGTCAAAAATTTCGAAGATAATATTATAGTTCATAGAAAAAGAGGGGATCATCCCATTTTGTGCAAATCTTGCAAATCCCAATATTTTTTCCAGTGCTATGTTAGGTGCAAAAATGGACAATATCGGCCCACTACAGGTACTGGGGGAAGGGTCAAAATTTGGAACAATGATAACTCTTATAAAATGGGAAATTATTGTGCGATTGTCTTCAAATTTCAGACATTCCCATAATTTTATTAACATATGATCTAGTGTGAAGATGGGATATATCGGTCAACTTCTTCTGGTACCTCTCCCACAACGAGTCAAAATTTTGAATTCCAATGAAGCTCTTGAAAGACGGAATAAACATCCAATTCCTGCCAAACCCGACACACCTCAATATATATATCCAGACAAAAGAAGATTGAATATGCCGTACCACTCTATTTGGTACGTACACCACAGCGGGTCAATTTTTTTTTTTTAAATTTTACCTCTCATAAAATGCAAAATGATTTTTCAGCTCATTCCTTCTGATACCTCCCCTACAAAAGGTTAAAATAATGATTAACAATTATTCCCAAAAAAATTGGTTATAGATATCTGATTTTCTTCAAAATTCCCACATCCAAATATTTGTATCAGTATTCAATGCAGTGGAGTGCTTTGGTCCAAAATATCTAGAGCCTTATGCATATTTCAACATTTTCCAAAAATTATCACATATTTCATATAAAGTGAAGGGAGTGGTCGATCCAAATCGGACACGTTGTTATTTTAATATCAGAGTTAGTTCAGATGAGAAGTGAATAATATTGGTCCACTCCTTCGGCATCTCCTACATTAAGGGTCAACTTTTTGAATAATCATAATGTAAGTCAAAATGAATTTAGATAGACTGACATAGGTTCGGTGCATACATATGTCGGCAAAACTGACTGATACTTTTTAACTGTTTTTTTTTTTTTTTTTTACTCAATGGGAACATAAATGAAAAAAATTGCCGATTTAAGAGTGAAGATCAGCCAGAAGCATTGCTAAAGCTACCCATGGATCCTGAAAAAGGCACAGTTTGGGGCAGTTCATGGGCTGCTGGCATCATTGGACCGTACTTCTCCAAAGATGCTGCAAATCGTAAAGTAACTGTGAGTGGTGAGGGCTACCATCAGATGATATCAATTTTTTTCCTCCGAAATAAAAGAGCTTGACTTGCATGTCATGCGGTTTCAGCAACACGATGCAATGTGCTTATTGAGAGGCGAGTTCGATGAACATTTTATTTCATATTTGGGGCCGGTCAATTGACGGCCTTTGGACTATTCGTTTGTGGTGCTATATTAAAACTCATGTCTATACATACGAGTTCGCTTCAAATGACAACATTGATGCATTCATTCATGAGATACCGGCTGAAATTTTGAAAACAGTATAGCAAAATTGGACTAAGCTGATAGATCATTGGCGGCGCAGTCGCTGTCAACATTTGATTAAAAATTGTCCAAACATTTAATTAAATGGAATTTTCCTGTCCTTTTTTATACCCTCCACCATAGTATGGAGGGTATATTAAGTTTGTCATTCCGTTTGTAACACCTCGAAATATACATTTTATACCCCACAAAGTATATATATTCTTGATCAGCATAAAATTCTATGTCGATTTATCAATGTCCGTCCGTCTGTCCGTCTATCCGTCTGTGGAAATCACTCTGGCTTCCGAAGGAAATGAAGTAGGTTGATAAAATTTTACTCTAACGTGTACTATGTCTGCAGGACTTTTGGTATTGAAAATGGGCCATGTAGGTCCACGTCTTCGTATAGCCCCCATATAACGGTACCTCCCGATATTCGGTATTTTGATCATTTTAGCGACATTATTTACCGGAATTGTTTCAGGTTTAGTATTTGAAGTTCGTAAGGAATACTACATCCTGGGACAAAAAATGAGCCATGTAGGTCCACGTCTTCATATAGCCCCCATGTAACGGTACCTCCCGATATTCGGTATTTGATGATTTTAGCAGCATTATTTATCGGAATTGTTTCACATTTTGGATTTGAAGTTCATAATGGATGCTACAGCCTATCACAGAAAATTGTCTGTGCAGGCCCACGCCTTCGTATAGCCCCCATATAACGGTACCCCCTATCTTCGGTAATTTCATGATTTTAGCGACATTATTTACCGGAATTGTTTCAAATTTTGCATTTGAAGTTCGTAATGAATACTACAGCCTATGACGTAAAATTGTCTGTGCAGGTCCACGTCTTTATATAGTCCCCATATAACGGTACCCCCCCCCCCCCCGATATTCGGTATTTTGATGATTTTAGCGACATTATTTACCGGAATTGTTTCAAATTTCGCATTTGAATATTGTAATAGCTTGTGACAAAAGTTGCCTATGCAGGTCCACATCGTCGTATAGACTCTAATATACGGCTACATTAGGTATTTTCAAGATTTTAACAGATTTTTAAGGATTTTTTTTTTTTTTTTTTTTTTGAAAATTGTTAAATTTGTACCAAATGGTGGAGGGTATTCAAAGTTCGGCCCGGCCGAACTTACAGCTTTTTTACTTGTTCCTTATTGAAATACTTTCCTATAGCACTTGAAAACCCTTCACCATAGTATATTCAGTTTGTCATTCAGTTTGTAACACCTCAAAATAAGGACATTTGGTAGGTCCACTTTTTGGTATAGCCCCTATATAATGGTACCTCCTTTTTTCGGTATTTTGGTGATTTAAGCGACATTATTCACCGGAAATGTTTCAAATTTGGTATTTGAAGTTCGTAATAGATAGTATAGCCTAAGACAGAAAATTGTCTGTGCAGGTCACGTCTTCGTATAGCCCCCATATAACTGTACCTCCCGATATTCGGTATTTTGATGATTTTAGCGACATTATTCACCGAAATTGTTTCAAATTTGGCGTTTGAAGTTCGTCATGGATACCACAAGATTTTCAAGTTTCGCATTTACGACAAAAATTGCCTATGCAGGTCCACGTCGTCAAACAGACCCTACATTTGGTATTTTTAAAATTTTAACAGAATATTTTACGGATATTTTTTTAACATTGCCACATTCGTTCCAAATAGTGGAGGGTACTCAAATATCGGGTAGCCGAACTTACAGCTTTTTCACTTGTTAGTACTTCAAATCATGCGACATTGAATTTTTTAAGATAAGATACTATACCTGAAATATTGCTCCTCTCTGGACCCCTTGGCATGTAGTAAATCCTTAATGTGACCCAAACCCTTGACACCTTCGTTATCATTCATTATGAAAACTACGGCATCCAAATTTAATTCTCGATTCACTTCCTGGGCAATTTGGTAGTTGCCAGCATCACAGAATATCAACTTGGGGCGAGTTATTTTATATATCAGCGCAACGTTCTCTGGAAAAGTTGGTTAAAAATTCGAGAATTGCAAGGAATAATTCACAATTTTGTGTGCATTTTTTTAGGAACCCCCGTAACCTTACCCTTATCGAAAGCAGGATACAAAGCATTCACCGGAGTTCCACAGAGAAATGAGGCCAACATCAGAGTAGTACTGTGAGTCCAATTGCTGGCATACAAACCGATTACATCGCCCACTTTGAGGTCTAACTTCAAAAGATTCCTTGCCAATGCCTTGGCCTGATGCAGTAGCTCAGCACAGGTCAGCTTCACACCGCTAACATCATGGATTTGTATGATTTTTTGTGGATGTTTCGAGAGCGTTGCATAGATCACTTCGCCCAATGTTATATTTTCATTGTACACATCCTTACGCTGAGGTCCAGACCAGATCTTGCGATCTGGATCATAGTAGGTGGCTGTCAATGGATGCAGCATGACTGTCACCGTTTCAATGTTAAGTTCGCCCACAACTGACTGCAGGGCCGAGAAATGCATGTCATTGAAAACGAAATACGAAGATTCCACTTTGTTTCTATTAATTGTTTTAATATTTGCTATTTGTGTTGTTGTTGTGTTTTTTATAGTTTACAACGACACGCGGCTCAGCAGAAAAACGCAACAACAACAACAACACGAATTATATGCATGAGAATATGTAACTGGAATAGCAATGATAAGAATTTCTAAGCTAAACGACAGCAATGGTTAGGCAGGAGCGTAGGTCACATCAAAAACAAGTAGGAATTGGAAATGTGATTAACTCACAAAGAGAGAAGGGTACTACCCAACTTATTAACAAACAAAATATGGGTTCATAAAGTATTATATAAAGTGTTGGGGGTATTATAAGTTTGATTGGGCCAAAAATTATGTAACACCTCGAAATATTGGTTTCCCACATAGGAAAGTATATATGGATCTTATTATCTCGCCGAGATGAGTCGCTCTAGCTATGTATGTCCATCCGTCCGTCTGTCCGTCTGTCCATGTTAATTTGTAATCAAGCTACAGGTCGCAATTATGAACCGATCCTCACGAAATTGAAAATGGAGGTGGGGTTAGGGTCAGAATAGAACCATATTGTTTTTGGATTTGATCGCCCGATATTTAGGGGTTGAAATGGACCAAAACCAGAACATTTTCCTGATTTTGCAGTTGCTCTATAGGTCACAATTATGAACCAATCGACGCGAAAATTTACATGGTGTTAGAGTTTGGGACTGGGCAGAAACCTACCAATTTGAGCGGCCATCGGACAATAATTAGCGGTTAAAGTAGACCCTAACTTTTATGTTAGAAAATGGGAAAATTTCCACTAAACCGCGAATATTTTTGATCCCAGCCAAATCACAAATACATTAAAATATCACTTCTGACCATTACAGTGATGCTAAAAGCCAAGAAATCGGATATTAAGCAAAATAGGTACAATACATATGTAAATGAATTTATCTTATTTATTCTGCTTTTAAATCAAGAACCGCTGGGCCGATTTTCACAATGAACATTAATTCGGAATGGTCTCTTGCCAAAAAAGGATAAAATCTAAGAAAATCGCGGAATAATTTACCAATAAAAAAGTTACATCTTTTGTTTAATTTTTTTCCATTTTTGTCATATTTTTTATCGCATGCGATTTTTTCAATTTGACTTACAATTTTGAATTTTAAATTTTCTAAATTTTTACACCCCCAACACTACGTTTTGAGGGTATTATTATCCTCACGAAATTTTGCATGGGGGTGGGTCGGAATTGAAGCCTATTGTTCTTAGGATTATTAAAGGTTTAAATAGGATATTATTAAAGGTTTAAATGGCTAAAAAAAATAAATTTTTCAAATTATGTAGTCGTTCTATAGGCCACAATTGAAAACTGATCGACACGGAATTTCGCATCGGAAGAGAGTTGAGGACAGAGAAGAAGTCTAGCATTTTAGATGAACATTGGATTATATTTCGGTGTAAAATGGACCACAACTTTCGTGAGCAATTGTTTTGAATACTTCACAATACTAGGGAGTGCGTAAATATTGGTCTAATTCTCCGGGTCAAAAACCTAAGGGTAGGGCAGGGCTCTTTGGCATTTTTTCAAAAACCAAATCTTCCAAAATGGATTTGCACATAAAGGGACTTTGAACATATTGTAGTGTTGTAGGGTATCACATTTGTTTACTAGTTTTTTTTATATATATATAACTTACTTGAAATATTGCTCCTCTCTGGACCCCTTGGCATTTAGTAAATCCTTAATGTGACCCAGACCCTTGACACCTTCATTATCATTCATTATGAAAACTACGGCATCCAAATTTAATTCTCGATTCACTTCCTGGGCAATTTGGTAGTTGGCAGCATCACAGAATATCAATTCGAGAATTGCAAAGGAATAATTCCCAATTCTGTATGTGTTTTTTTAAGAACCCCTGTAAATTTACCCTTATCGAAAGCAGGATACAAAGCATTCACCGGAGTTCCACAGAGAAATGAGGCCAACATCAGAGTAGTACTGTGAGTCCAGTTGCTGGCATACAAACCAATTACATCGCCCACTTTGAGGTCTAACTTCAAAAGATTCCTTGCCAATGCCTTGGCCTGATGCAGTAGCTCAGCACAGGTCAGCTTCACACCGCTAACATCATGGTTTTGTATGATTTTTTGTGGATGTTTCGAGAGCGTTGCATAGATCACTTCGCCCAATGTTATATTTTCATTGTACACATCCTTACGCTGAGGTCCAGACCAGATCTTGCGATCTGGATCATAGTAGGTGGCCGTCAATGGATGCAGCATGACTGTCACCGTTTCAATGTTAAGTTCGCCCACAACTGACTGCAGGGCCGAGAAATGCATGTCATTGAAAACGAAATACGAAGATTCCACTTTGTTTCTATTAATTGTTTTAAAATTTGCTATTTGTGTTGTTGTAGCTGTTGTTGTTGTGTTTGTTAGTTTACAACGACACGCGGCTCAGCAGAAAAATGCAACAACAACAACAACACGAATTATATGCATGAGAATATGTAACTGGAATAGCAATGATAAGAATTTCTAAGCTAAACGACAGCAATGGTTAGGCAGGAGCGTAGGTCACATCGAAAAACAAGCTGGAATTGGAAAAAAAAACTTATTAACAAAATATGGGTTCATAAAGCACATTTTGGAACTTGTATATAGGTTTTTTTATACCCTCCACCATAGTATGGAGGGTATATTAATTTTGTCATTCCGTTTGTAACTCCTCGAAATATTCATGTCAGACCCAACAAAGTATATATATTCTTGATCAGCGTAAATTTCTAAATTTCTGTCTGTCTGTTGTAATCACGCTATCTTTCGAACAAATTGAGATAGAAGGCTAAAATTTTGCACTCATGTATTTTTTCCCAGTAGGCAGGTTAAGTTCGTAAATGGGCCATGTAGGTCCAAGTTATCATATAGCCCCCATATAACGGTACCTCCCGATATTCGGTATTTTGATGATTTTAGCGACATTATTCACCGGAATTATTTCAAATTTGGCATTTGAAGTTTGTAATGGATGCTACAGCCTAAGACAGAAAATTATCTCTGCAGGTCCACGTCTTCCTGTAGGCCCCATATAACGGTACCCCCCGATATTCGGTTTTTTGATGATTTTAGCGACATTGCTTACCGGAATCGTTTCAAATTTGGTATTTGAAGTTCGTAATGGATACTTCATCCAAAGTCAAAGAATGAGCCATGTAGGTCCACGTCTTCATATAGCCCCCATATAACGGTACCCCCCGATATTCGGTTTTTTGATGATTTTAGCGACATTATTTACCGGGATTGTTTCAAATTTCGTATGTGAAGTTCGTAATGGATACTTCAGCCCATGCCAGATTGTCTGTGCAAGTCCACGTCTTCGTATAGCCCCCATATAACGGTACCCCCCATGTTCGGTATTTTGACGATTTTAGCTACATTATAAATAGATTTTTCTTCAAGTTTCGCATTTAAATATTGTAATAATTTATGACAAAAGTTGCCTATGCAGGCCCACGTCGTTTTATAAGCATTCGGTGCTTTTAAGATTTTAACAAAATTTTTAACGGGTTTTATTTTTTGGAAATTGCCAAATTTGTACCAAATGGTGGAGGGTATTAAAAGTTCGGCCCGGCCGAACTTACAGCTTTTTTACTAGTTTTATTTTGCGCCTAGGTTTTGTTGCCGGACATGTTCACTTTGTGCGGCAATTACTCATTACTTGGTATGATGAAAGTAAGTTATTTTGCCTTGTAATTTTTTTTAGGAAAAAGAAGGAGTGAACCGATATTTCCCATCTCCGAACTCCATTTATGTCTGATAATAATATTACGATGTACCAAGTTTGGAGCAAATCCGTTTCACGAGACCAAGGTTCTGAAACCGTTATTTCGAAGAGGCACGTTTTGACGTATCAAATGATATATACCCTCTCTAGCCATATGACTGAGGGTATAATTATTAGAACTACAACTAAAAATGGTGTATACATTATGTCACATTTTTCAAGAAAAAATATTTCCAATTTGGTATTCGAAACTGTAAACGATACGAGAATTACTGAATATTTAAAAGAAAGAAGATTTTCCAAACGAATTTTAGTTTAATGTAATTCTTTGGTTCCTCTTCTAGTGGGCTTACGATCTAGTCACTTAGGTAAAAAAATGGTTTCGTTATAGGAGTTATTTTTAAAATAACTCCTGTGGAGAATGTCCCTAACAAAAAAACAACAAGGAGGATTGAGGAGGAGGAGTATTAGTGGCTCTTTCCCAAACCTAGTTATTCCCTGCCTAACCTTCTTGTAAATATTATCATCTTCTCCAGTAATGAATAGCCGTTGTTTTTATAAAAACAACAATAATGGGATAAGGCCTGACTATTTTGCAACAACAAAATACTATGGTATCTCGAACAAACATGCCAACACTGTTCCAAAAATTGAAATATTCCATATTTCTTTAATCAATTTTTCCCTCTAACTTTTTTCGAGTTGACGGCTGAAAGAAACATACAATTTCGTTTTAGGCGGAAGGTCTCAAGAGAAGAAATATTTTACATAAAATTGATCAGCATAAAATTCTATGTCGATTCTTCAATGTCCGTCTGTGGAAATCACTCAGCTTCCGAACGAATTAAAGTACGTTGATAATATTTTACTCAAAAGTGAAGTCCTGAAGACCAGACTTTTGGTATTAAAAATGGGCTATATAGGTCCATGTTTAGGTATAGCCCCCATATAACTCTACCTCCCTATATTCGGTATTTTGCTGATTTCAAATATCGTATTTGAAGTTCCTAATGGGTACTGCAGGCTATCACAGAGAATTGTCTATACAGGTCCAGGTCTTTGTATAGCCCATAAATATCGATACCTCCCTTTATTCGGCACTTTGCTGATTTTAGCGATATTATTCATCAGAATTGTTTCAAATTTCGTATTTGAAGTTCCTGGGTACTGCAGCCTACGACAAAAAATTCTCTATGCACGTCTTCGTATAGCCCCCATATAACGGTATCTCCCGATCTTCAAATTCATACTTAAAATTTGGTATCTGAAGTTCCTAACGAGTACTACAGCCTATGACAGACGTCTTCGTCATTTCTAAGCCATTCATCCGACAGCTGTTACAATTATTCCATTGACAGCTCATTATATTGTTTACAAGCGAACAAAGAGCATTTTGGTGAGAATTTTCCAGAAAAAAAGTTATTCGTGATGGAATTCAAGCGTGATAATGTGACTTCTTTATATTTGGCATGAAAACCACAAGTGGCTATTGTGACGTCGCAGTGGCCGAAAAATGGCTCGTTAGCTGAACATATCGCAATATTCCATTCGGCAAATATTGAAAAATGAGCTCGTAAAGCAATTGAAATTCCAAAAACATTCAAGAACTTACATCACAACAGAAAGAAAATAGACTCAAAAGAGCTAAAGAGTTGATTCGCTTGGCCGAAAGTTGTGAACTGCCGAAATTTCTCTGATGAGAAAACATTCATTATCAAGCTGAAAAAGCTGAAAATGTGCACCTTCGGTTGGCCACCAGAACTCAAGCGCCGGCCATGGTGATGGTGTGGGCCGCCAAACAGCCGATGGTCGCTCTCCGCTCGTATTAATCGACCGTGGCATCATTCTGGAGGGTGTATTAAAGCCTTGGGCACGCAAACATTTTGGCCGAAGACATTGGACATTCCAACAGGACTCAGCACCAACGCATTGAGCACGCGCCACCCAAGTATGATTACAAAATGAAGTTCCTCGCTTCATTTCCATCGCACAATGTCCCCCAAAATCTCCGAATACCAATTCGTTGGACTATTTTGTCTGGAGTATTTTAGAAAACAAGGTTGGCACCAAAAATTACCAAAGTGTCGATCAGCTCAAGCAAGCGCTTCGCCGGAAATGGGACAAAATACCGCAGGGCAACATTCGGGCGGCCTGTGAAGGCCATAATTCGTGCAAAGGTGACCAATTCGAACAAATCTAAACTTATTCTAAAATTTGATGCTATTTTCAATATATTTGCATCCATTCAATAAAATTTTTAAAAAATGTAAAAATTATGGATTTTGACTTTGTTGCAAGTTTTTTATCTCACCCTGTACATGCACCAAGATTTTTATATTGTATTTAATTTATTATTAAAATTAATTTGACTTATTATCTATTTATTTATATGAACAATGAACACAGTTTTACATTTAGGCCTTTTCTTCTCTCATTTTCATAACAAGCTCCAACACCTTGGCTCTCTGGACTTTACCCGAACCGGTCTTCGGTATGGCATCTACAAAATAAACACCGCCAGCCAAGTGGTACATACTGCCCATATGGGCCTTAACATGTTGATCGATTTCCTTGGCTGACAGCTTCAAGCCCTCTGCCGTTGGGGAACGTACCACAGCACAAGACGTCAAATGCGTAGCAATCGGATCTGGAATACCGAAAACGCAGACTTCAGCAATGCCCGCCAAACGATAGATAACCTCTTCGATGAGTTGTGGATAGATTTGGAAATTTCTCGATTTAAAGACATCATTGTCTCGGGTGCAGACATGCAGGAAACCTTCTTCATCGAAATAGCCAATATCTCCGGTGTACAGCCATCCATCACGCATAGCCTTGTGCGTGGCCTCCTCGTTATTGTGATAACCGTACCATGGATAGGGTGAGTAAATACAAATCTCTCCATGTTGATTAGGCCCCAATGCTTGGCCTTGTTTGTCGATTATACGCACTTTTTTGTTGGCAAGAATTTTTCCCTCGGAGCCCACTAGGCGTTCTGTCACATAGCCGCCATTAATCGTCAACATTCCAGACAATTCGGACATGCCATAGGCCACAGCAAAGCCGGGCCGTTTTAGATTCTTCGCTAAAATGTGATGCATTTTCTCCTGCAGGCCCAAGGTGACCTTGGCACCGCCCACCAGCAGAGTATCAATGGATTCCAAGCACTTTTGTATCTTTGGCACATCTTCATATTGTGCCAATTCAGCCATATACTGATTATTCGAAAGAACATGGGTAATTTTGTATTGCTGCACCAAGTCGAGTAAATATTCCGGGGTGTAGGGCCGAGTGGTAACAATGCGCAGCGAACCGAGAATTAAAGAATGCACCAATGTCCACAGACCGGAGGCCCAATACATGGCGCTGAAGGTGAATGTCAACGAGTCGGGTTTGAGGGTTAGACTGTGAGGGAGAGGTTAGATATGAAATGTGAGATTTGGGTATTGATTGCAGTAGCTAGCGGTGGTACCTACAATACATTCTGATTGAGCAATGCTCGATGAGAGCATTTAACTCCTTTGGGGGTCCCAGTGGTGCCAGAGGAACACAACAGCATAGCTGTATCATCTCCGTTCAATTCGTAACAAGGGAATCTGAAATAAGAGAGAGAGATGGAAAATGTGTATAACAAAAATAGATATTAAGCCGTTGGAAAATGTATCTATGAAGTATCTGAGTAATATATATATATATATATATATATATATATATATATATATATATATATATATATATATATATATATATATATATATATATATATATATATATATATATATATATATATATATATATATATATATATATGTATATAGTAACGTGGATAATGTATCTAAAATGTGAATAATGTATCTCATAACGTGGATAATATATATATTAACGTGCAACGTATTTAACAATGTGAAAACCTAACAACGTGGATAATGTATCTAACAACGTGGATAATGTATCTAACAACGTGAATAATGTATCTAAAAACGTGGATAATGTATCTAACAACGTGGATAATGCATCTAACACCGTGGATAATGTATCTAACAAAGTGGATAATGTATCTAACAACGTGGATAATGTATCTAACAACGTGGATAATGTATCTAACAACGTGGATAATGTATCTAACAACGTGGATAATGTATCTAACAACGTGGATAATGTATCGAACAACGTGGATAATGTATGTAACAACGTGGATATTGTATCTAACAACGTGGATAATGTATATAACAACGTGGATAATGTATCTAACAACGTGGATAATGTATCTAACAACGTGGATAATGTATCTAACAAAGTGGATAATGTATCTAACAACGTGGATAATGCATCTAACAACGTGGATAATGTATCTAACAACGTGGATAATGTATCTAACAACGTGGATAATGTATCTATGGACGTGCAATGTATCTAACAACGTGGATAATGTATCTAACAACGTGGATAATGTATCTAACAACTTGAGTAATGTATCTAACAACGTGGATAATGTATCTAAAAACGTGGATAATGTATCTATGGACGTGCAATGTATCTAACAACGTGGATAATGTATCTAACAACGTGGATACTGCCTCTAACAACGTGGATAATGTATTTAGTTACGGGGATACTGCATCTAACAACGTGGATATTGTATCTAGTTGCGGGAATACTGCATCTAACAACGTGGATATTGCATCTAGTTTATCTGAAAACCTTGTGAAATTCAAATATGTCTCATCAAACTACGTCACATGTGATTAACTCTCCCAAATCAGATTTCTAATTTATAGCCCAGACATCACAACATTTTAATCTACCCCTAAAAATAACTCACCTAAAATTTTCCTTATCGCTCATATCATTTTCCACCTTCAACAGATCTTTGATATGTCCAACACCCTCCACAACGTCGTTATCATTCATTACGAATATGGGAGCATTCAGCTGCAGCTGATTGTTGACCTCCAAGGCAGTTTTATAGTTTTCGGCATCACAAAATAATACCTTGGGTTGGGTGACCTTATAGACCATGGCAACAGAATCTACAAAAATGATAGAATCAAACCAAATCAATTTTAATTCCAACGAAAAGTCTTTCACTTCCTCCTCACTTACCTTTATCAAAACTCTGATACAGAGCATTCACGGGGGTGCCACAAACAAACGAAGACAACATCAGTGTCGTCACATGTGTCCAATTGCTGGCCATCAGGCCAATAACATCACCCTTCTTGAGACCTAATTTAAGGAGATTTTTACTCAACACCCGCGAGTGATCCAATAACTGTTGGGCCGTCAATTTCTCCTGCGTCACATCGTGAATCTGTATAACCTTATCCGGGCATTTGCTGAGAACTTCAAAGATAACTTCTCCCAATGTTATGTCCTTGTTATAGAAATCTTTTCGCTGGGGTCCAGACCATATTTTTTCTTTTGCATCATAATAGGTAGCGGTGAGCGGATACATATTCGTCAGTCTCGATGGACGGTTTGGTGACAACTGCTGTTTAGTGGTTTGTTTAAAATTTGTTTTATGAAATGATCGGAAGTTTTCTTTGTTATGTTTTATTTTTTTGGGGGGGATTTGGGCCATTGATAAGATCAAAATAATCAACGTAAAACAGAGGCGTCGATTTTATAGATGTCACATGTGATCGTTAATGGAAAGAAAATGCAAACAATTTAAATTGTTTTTTAAGTCAACTTCCTAAAAATGAAATAAATTTATTCTATGTTGGAGTTTCGTTTTTAACAGATGTATGGCAAATTTACAGACTTTATAAGACTTTCGCCGGTATAAGCAATGCTAAAATTTGACTAAGTAATGTATTTATCAATTCAATGCAAAAATTGGTATTAGATTCATAAGTATAAATATAAATAGTATTGGCTTCAGAAAGCTACTTTCTGATTTTTTAAACTTAATATTTAAATGAACCATACAAAAGCAAAAAGTCTACAGTAAAAGTAAAGTGGGTATTAAGCGATTTTTACTTCCACGCGAAAATGAGCAAAGTCCACTCGTTCTTATTCAAGTGGCATAGAAAAATATAGTACAATAGATTTTTTCAATCGCTGGAGTATCACAAGCGCTCGTTACTCGTTCCACTCTTTGGAACTATGATTTTGGATGGTATTTAAATAGATATCGGCTCGAAGGTATTGGGGATTTTCTGGACTCATAATTATTCGGGTTGTCGGTTTCTTGGAAATATTCTGGTTCCTATTCCGAGAGTATTCAATTGGTGCATTAGCATAGCACGGAGCGTGCACAACGCTTGCCAGACACGTAGAGAGTACTTTTTGGGCTTAGCTTTTTTGGTAAGATCTTGTAACATTCTACTGATACGAAGTTGAAAACAAAATTCGACACTTTTTGATTTTTTCCTTCAACGAAAAAGTCCACTTTTCTATCTTGTTCAATCAGTCACATTCGAACCATACCACGAAGTGATTTCTAGGAATTTCTACAATAAATGCAACAAAGTTAAGTGGGGATGATATTAAAACGGATCATAGAAATTTTTCAAAAAGGTCACAATAAAAATCTCAATCTTTTTAAACTTTATTCATGATAGCGAGACCTACGTTTGATTCAAAATTCTGATTTTGAATTACATTTGAACCCATACCATAGTTCAACGGCCTTTCGGGATTAGAGAGCCTTCTAGCAAGAAATTGTTAATATAGCTTCCCTTATCCATGTTCCCAAATGTACATTAATGATTGACAATAGCTTCCTCATTTCTGGGACTAGTCAGTGATCTTATATAGGGACTATGCCAGTGGAAGTGGGACGACCCATTTTCTATCCCAATGATTCTGAAAGTAATTCAAAACTTCCTATAAAATTTCAAATCTATTTATTGAGAGTGTTACCTTATACAGGGTGAGATAAAAAACTGCAACAAAGTCAAACGTTTAACAAAATTTTACTTTTTTTTATTTTATGGAATGAATGCAAAAAATGCCGGAAATAACATCACATTTTAGAATAAGTTTAGATTTGTTCGAATTGGTCACCTTTGGCACGAATTATGGTCTTCAAAAGGCCAATGAAAAGATCACACGCTGCCCGAATGTTGCTCTGCGATATTTTGGCACATTTCCGGCGAAGCGCTTGCTTGAGGTGATCGATACTTTGGCATCTTTTAGTGCCAACCATGCTTTCCCAAAACACTCCAGACACAATAGTCCAACGGATTTGTATGCGGAGATTTTTGTGGCCATTGTGGGCTGGAAGTGAAGCGAGGAACCTCATGTTGTAACCATTCTTGGGTGGCACGTGCTGAGTGCGATGGTGATGAGTCCTGTTGGAGTTTGCGTACCCAAGGCTTTAATACAACCTCCAGAATATTTTTGCGATAATATTCGTCATTTATTCTGATGTCAATTAATACGAGCGGATAACTACCATCGGTGGTTATGGCGGTCCACACCATCACCATTGCCGGCGCTTCAGTTCTGGTGGCCAACCGAAGGTGCACATTTTCAGCTGACCTCTTTGCCAAGTTAACACGATCATTTTGTTTGTTTACAAACTGCTGGGATAACGAATGTTTTCTCATTGGATAAAACCAAATTCGGCAGTTCACCACTTTCGGTCAAGCGAAGCAACTCTTTAGGTCTTTTGAGATTATTTTCTTTGTGCTGCGGTGTAAGTTCTTGAACTTTTTGAATTTCAATGGCTTTGCCGCGAGCTCATTTTTCAATATTTGACGAATGGAATATTGTGATATGTTCAGCTCACGAGCCACTTTTCTGCCACTGCTTTTAACTTTTCAGACCATTTCTGCTGATGTTGTTGTTTTCTTCCGTCCACTTCCTTGACGTCGGGCTACGCTACCAGTATCTCGGTAACGAGCGATGGTAGGAGACCCAAAAGATTTATTCACATTCAAATGTTGGAGTGCTTTAACGATAGTCACATGTGGTATCACGCTTGAATTCCATCGCGAATAACTTTCTTTGTGGAAAATTCTCACAAAAATGCTTTTGTACGCTTGTAAACAATATAATGAGCTGTCACTGGAATAGTTTTAACGGCTGTTGTACAAGTGGCTTAGAATTGACACCAGTCTGAAGTTGGTTGCAGTTGTTTCATCTCCCCCTGTATATACCAAAACCTGCATCTCAAAATGATTCTTGTAACTAATTATAATTAAAAAAAACACCAAACATCAGCAAACTCGAATGAAAGGTTCCAGTATGACTTTTAAAATTCCATTTTTATTACCCCCCTCATAAACTACGTCCATATCGCCGGACTAGTGATTAGATAACAATTTTAAACTGCAATTTTTTTTTTGTTTTCTGTTTCAAAACAATGATTACAAATAAATTCTCATCATGTTTGTTTGTATAAAACGAAAGCGGTTTTTTCCTAGTTTGTGATAGGTTTTAAATTACGTATGGCATACAGGGAGAGCAATATAGACCCCGCCAATTAATGGTGGCAGAACGTGAGGGGGTCGCCTTTACGTGGGGTCTGCTGCCGCTACTACTACTACTAATCTAATCAAACAAACTATTAACGGGAGCAAACAATTCGTTTCTTGTTGTTGTTATTATTATTGTTATCATACTAAAGAGCAATATAGCTTAGAAATGATAATAGGAGGAGTTAGCTATCAGCATTTAAATATGATTTTGGCTAATCTAAAATATATTAGCTAATTAATATTAAATTTTAAATGTCATATAAAGGGTGCAACGTATAGAGACTACGGTACTTGATAGGTTCAGGATTTAATTGCAAAAAAATTCTATAGTATACAAGTTTTTTTACCAAAGAGGAGAGTTGAATGGTTTTCTATGAATTGGAAAAATAGAAACGATATTTTTATAACATCAACATTGGCTACGGGGGTATATCTAAATTAATACTGAAAATATGCTATTTGTACGAAATCAATTTCAGACACTTTTGAGTCCGCCTTTCTGTACGCACGATAATCCTCGAAGGGTTTAACCGATATTTTCCAAACTTGTACATGGTAATATTTTATCATACTTACATCGGACGGAAAAACGGAAAATATCGATTGACTCTGTTTGATAGAATGCCCCACAAAATTTCAAAGTTTTTAATAAACAAGTTAAATAGAATCAGTCGGTATTGCCGACAGCTGCATACCATCAGCCAATTTTCGGTTATAATTATGACTTGCGTTATGATTATTCAATTTCTTGACCCTCCATAGGAAGGGCTCCGAACGAGATCGGCCAATATTTTCTATTTCGTATCTGACATTAGTCTGATATTAAAGCCTTTCACATTTGGACTGGTCACGACTACTTGCACCAATTTATATGAGATATTTGATGATATCTCGAAAATTTCGCGTTTTATGAGAGTTGTAATTATTTAAAATTTTGACACGCTGTGGGGGAGGTACCAGAAGGAGTAGTCCGATATTGTTCCTCTTCACAACAAATCTTGTGTTAGAAGTATTGAGATGTGCTGAGTTTAAAAGTAATCGGATGCTCATTTTGAGTTTTATGTGTTTAATGGTTATTCCAAATGTTGACCCTTTTGTGGAGGAGGTACTAGAAGGTGTGGTCCGTTCAATCCGTTCTTTATACCAGACCTTGTGTTAGTGGAAATATTGAAATGTGCGAAATTTTAAGATAATCGGACTCTTATTTCACATTTTATAAGAGTTTTAATTATCCGAAACTTTGACACTTTGTTGGAGGTACATGTCCGCACCTGACCTAGCACTGATCAAAATATTACGATTTACAAATTTGGAGCAAAATCGGATTATCCTTTCCCTCCCTGTACTGTAAAATATCATTATTTTATTTATTTATTTTTTAATTTCTAAATTTTGTGGTACCAGGTACCAGAAGGAGTGGAGCGATTTGGCCTATCTCCGGCGGACATCGCTAGAACGACTCCAAACGTCCTGAAACGGATTTGGTCTAAAGAGACCTAGGGTCTAAAACCATTATTTCGAAGAGGCAAATAATATATACCCTCTAGCCATATGGCTGAAGGTCAAACTTGGGGGCCTCTATGGTCCTTGTCTTCGTAAATTACTTGAAACTGGTCAAAATTTCTAAATAAGTGTCCCCTGGAACTTGTCACATTTATCAAAAAAGTGTCCGCTACGGGCCTGCATTTTCGTATCTAAACCGGTTCTCTAATGTGTACATGTTTTGTAATTCCCCTGAAGTGGTCAACATGTCCAAAAACGTACATTTTCGTCGTCCTCCGGAACAATTCAAGCATTTTTAAAAAGGGTCCCATATGGATCCTAGAACTAGATCCCCCGGAAAAAATTGCCAAATAATGATCACATATGGGTCTATGTTGTAGTATCTTCCCTGGAACTGATAAAAAAATGTGTCCACGTCCTCACACTCTATGGGCCCAGCTTTTCGTATTTAGCCCCGTTCTATCCACGTTTTCGTACTTCGCCTAAACTGGTCAACATTTGCAAAACATACGTCTTCGTATACCCTCGAAACTAGTCAAAATATCTAACAATGGGCGCTATGGATGCATGGCT